ATACCTACCCACGGCCGATATCACTTCGGACTTCTGTTGGATGTCGTAAGAAGCCTGTGTGTTGGGCACGATTGAAGATTCGACCATATAGGTAACAGGTTCTTGCTCTGTCTGGACTTTAAGTTCATCTAAAATGCATCCGCGACATAACTGCAGACATTCGGACAAGTTGGAATTTGAAGATGAGGTTAGCCAATTACCATATTCATTATAAAGTGTATAATGTTACCTTGAACTGGTGCCCAGACCAGTCGCGCCTAACGCTGTTACTGTTTTCTAACCAACGATACGCACGACTTATCGTGTAGATGCACATCACACTGTAGGAAATATTGTCCGGCATTTCAAAGATAATACCTACCCTCGACTGTTGTCACAGTGGCTTTCTGAACAATGTCGTCGAAACCCTGTGGTTCCAGGACGACAGATGATTCGTCCAGGTAGGTCGCTATCTCTTTTGCCGTCTGGGTATGAACCTCATCTAAAATGTATGAGCGACATAAATGCAAATAGGTTGGACATTTTGGAAACTACAGACGGGGGTCGTCAAAGATGATGGTTTGCACATTTCTATGTTGATAATGTTATCTTGAACTGTTGCTCAGACAAATCGTAACCTTCGCTGTTACTTATTGCTAACGACCTGATATACAAGGTTTTCCCTGCAGATGTAAGTCAAAATGTAAGAAAAAGTGTCCGGCATTTCAAAAATGAGATCTACCCTCGACTGATGTGGCTTTTACTTCCTCTACGACGTCGTCCAAAGCTTTTGGTTCCAGGACGGCGGAGGATTCTTCAAGATGGATCACATTCCCTTGTGCCGTGTGATGTTGAAGGTTATCTAAAGTGCAAACGCGATATAAAAGCAGACATCTGGAGAAGTTCGAATGTGCAGATGAGGTTTGCCGACGATATTGCCATATAAATTATTATGCCTAGAATATTATCTTGAACCCGTACCCAGACCAATTGCACCTAACGCTTTCACTGATTGCCTACTACTTAAATTTACTGCGTAGATGCAAATTACAGTGTAGGAGAACTTACCTCGCATTTCAATGACAATACTTACCCTTGACCGACGTTACTTTGGCCTTTTGGACAATGTCCTCGAAATCCGGTATTTCGAGGAAAGCAGAGGCTTCCTCGTGGTATTCCACTGATTCCTCTGCCGACTGCAGTTGAAGGTCATCTAAAAAGAATGCGTGACATAAATGTAAGGAAGCTGAACCTCAGAGGAGTAATTTACTTTCGCACAGGGCAACACATGAAGTTCTCTCCGCCCTCGAATCGACCAGAAATTTGTTCGATCGGGAGCGAGAACCGATTATGACTGAACACTCGTTCTGACAGGCCGCACACTGCAGTACTGTGTGGAGATCGATGTCATCTAAACTGTATGCACGAAGTGAATCCTAGAGGAATTTGAATCAACCGCAAATCGAGCTGAACAGGGGGAGAGCAGTGGTAGTGATGATGATGACGTGCAGTCAATGCGTACTACAATGAATGCGTCGTCTACGGGGGCCACGCGTGTGCTCCCTTATATACTCGCGCAGAGGACATTTCTCGGAGCGCATATTTCATGGGAAAGAACGGCAAGCGATGGACTATATCCTTTAGGGATCTTTAAAACCGTCGATTCGGTGTTTCGCATTCAAAATATTGTAAGTGGACAGGGTTCATTGCCCTATGAAGAATGCCTGTCTAATGTCAAGCCCTTTTTGAGCCGCAGACAGCTACGGGGAGACCTAATACTAAAAGTCCGCATTTTAATCGGCCTAAGAATGTTGTCTTGTATCAAGAGATTTTACTTGAGTTAGTACAAAAGAAGTTCTCTTTCCTCAACAGATTTCCGTTTACCTCAGTTTTATCAAGGGAAAGAATGGGCAAAAGCCTTGGAGTTTCTTGTTGGTGACAAAATAAGTAGGAAATGTATCAGCACAAAAGAAAAATTCAAAAACTACGTCAATCACAGGATTGCAGGCGAAAAGCGAGAAGCAGTTGCTTTGACAAAAGAGTAATCCTACATCATTATCAAAATGCAGGCACGAAGTGAACGCAGGCAATTTGAACTCCCCCCACCCAGGAGAAAACTGATATCTTGCAGTGGAAAACAT